TGTACGAATAAATCCCCTCTTTCACACCGTTAGTCTGCTTATCTTTCTCTGTTACCTTGCACCAGCTCTCTGCACAGTCCCTCAGTGTCGGGTTCCCCTTCATCCTCTGGTTCTTCATCATCTTCATCATGGCTGGTGCTGCTGTCTCTTTCGCTCTCATCCATTCCCGAACTGCTCCACACCTCCATTTCTGAACTCATGCTCTGCTATGTGTGTCTGCCCTGCAATGCGGTCTCTCTCTCTCTTCTCTCTCTCTCCACAGACTGTGCCAGGCTGATTTATAACATGAGCCGTCTGTCTGCTGCCTGCTGTCCCTGCTGTCCCCTAGGCTTCCTGCTCACTAATGGTCCTGTAAGCTCTCAGCCTGCACATGCTGAAGCTGTTACAGAATCTTCTGAGAGTGTGTGTCACTGCAGCTCAAGCCTGATGGCAGCTCAGACTCACCTGGCTGCTCTGAGCCACAGGAGCAGATCAACTCTGAGAGGAGGAGAGGGGACGACGGCTGAGGGAAATTTAGGGGGATAGATGAAAGACCAGGGATTTGTGTGTGTTACTGTAGTCATTTGGGGTTTTAGATTAAGTTTACCTATGAGTCAGTTCTGCTGATTTGATTTGAAACAGCTTGGGTTATTGTGCAGATGGAACCCCCCCCATTCAAACACAATATGGTACCTTCCAGATTAATGTCATAATACTGTACTGCTGCAGCACAACAGACAGACACTTCCACAATCACAGCACCACATCAGTGTTGTTATTGTTAACTAGTGCTGTCAAATGATTAATCGCGATTAATCGCAATCCAAAATAAAAGTTTTTGTTTATATATGTGTGTGTACTGTGTATATTTATTATGTATATATAAATACAAACACATGCATGTATATATTTAAGAAAAATATGTTCTGTTTATATATTAAATATATTTATGTACAATATAAAATATAAGAATATAAATATATAAATGTATATACATGTAAATATTTAAAAAATATATATATACTCTATGTGTGTGTATTTATATATACATTATAAATATACACAGTACACATACATATATTATGTAAACAAAAACTTTTATTTTGGATGCGATTAATCGCGATTAATCGTTTGACAGCACTATTGTTAACTCAAAAATGAAGATGAAGCTGCGATAAAATCAAATTTAATGGAAAACTTAAAAAAAAAAATGAAATGTTGCCTTGGCAACTAACTGAAACAAGTTTAAAGTTAAATTACTAAAATGACTAAAAACTGAAATAAAAGCTATATAGAAATATTTTGTAGAAAAAATATGAGAAAAACATGAAAACCTGAAATTAAAATAAAAACTGAAAAAAATAGTTTTATATAATATAAAAACGTTTTATACAATATAAAATAAAACTTTTGAAATATAAAAACTTTAAATATTAGTAAATAGCAGTGTTGTCAGTATCAGTGTTGTTATTGTTAATTAAAACGAAAACTATTAAAATAGTTTTTGGTAATTGTAAGCTGAAATAAAATAAAATATAAATCTAAAATAATATCTATTTTAGATGAAAAACTTCAACGAAAATTACTTGGCAACTAACTGAAATAAATTAGATTAAGTTAAAGCACTAAAAATATTCAAACTGAAATAAAAATAAACATGGAAATATCAACAAAAAAAACTAATACAAAGGACATGATAAACTAAAATTAAAATTAATGTATATAAAGTACAATGTATATAAAGTTTTATATAATAAAAAAACTATAATAGTAAATAAATAGTGCTAAAATATAACTACATATATATAAAGGAGGAGTGTACAGCTATCTGAACCTTAGTCTGTTTAAATTAACATGCTTGGTTTAGCAAAATATGGTTTTGGTGACATTTTTCTGAATGTAAGATAATGTTAGGATTGTGTTTTGTCTGAATTAACCTATTCATAAACAATAACAACATTTGAGGGAATATGTTAGACTGTATGTAGATTGTGTATAAAATTAAAACCTAGCGTTTTTTTAAATGTAATGTCTTGGACATAGTACATGTGTTGACAACACATTTTATTTTTAATAGAAGTGTAAATCATTTAACTTTTTGAATTAATAACATGATATGATGTTATATTAATTGGATAAATCAACATTTGCCACCTAAATGAAGATCATTCAAAACTATTTATTTTATGAGTAAATAGACATTTAAAATAGTGGCTTTAGAAGTCAATATATTGTTTGTTTCATTATAAAATAATTGCACATAATCTGATGACTGACCTACAGTCCAAAAGCAATCCATTTTGCATTCAAATTAATCTGTGCACCCTCAAAATCATACATGGGTCGAATTCAAAGCCACGTCTTTAGTCTTTCTTTTTCAGACATGTAAAAGAATTTGGGCCACGATTGCTTTCTAGCCAGATTTTGAAGGGGTCTATCAAATATTGAACAAAATTTTTAAATTGCAGGTCACATCACCACATGATGTGGCACGATGTGCTCAAATCTGACCTACAAAACACTGGGACTTCTTCCAATGAGAGCTCAAAAAGGCTAGGCAGAGTGAGAAACAAGAAGGATAAAAAATAATACATATTAAATCTCTGATAGAATACATACTAGAAGTGTACATGTTGAGATATTTAGGCTAGAAATAACAGCTGTGTTTGGGCTACAGCCCACGTAAAGAGATCTGTGCAGGTATGAGAACATGTTTCCATGCCAAGCGGATTAGAACTAAATTAGCACCACCGTAAATCAATCAGAGCAGTCACACAGAGATCTGTTTCCTTTTTTCCATCACTTCAAAACTGCAAAATAAACACTGGCTGATCACAATGATGTTTGGGGGTCAGTCAGATTTTTTAAATATGATTTTGAAAGAAGTCTCACCGAGGCTGCATTTATCTGATCAAAAATCTCAGTAATATTATTACAATTTTCTATTTGATATCTTTTTAACGGTAATATATTAATTTGATGAATTTTCAGCATCATTACTCCAGTCGTCAGTGTCACATGATCTTTCAGAAATCCTTCTAATATGCTGATTTGCTGCTCACGAAACATTTATTATTATCAATGTCGAAAACAGATGTGCTGCTTAACATTTTTGTGGATACCGTGAAATTTTTTTTTCAGGATCCTTAATTAGAAAGTTTAAAAGAACAGCATTTTCATATTTTGTAACATTATAAATGTCTTGACTGTAACTTTTGATCCGTTTAATGCATCCTTGCCAAATGAAAGTATTAATTTCTATATAAAGTATCAATTTTATTAATAAAAAAATGACTGACTCACTGGTAGTGTATATTATCTACTGTAAGTTACTGCCTTTATTTAGTCCTGCAGGTTTTTGAGGTCAATCATTGATAGTTTTATGACGCCACAAAATCACAGCCATGAAAAAATGTATATCCTGTTAAAGATACGGTAGGCGATTTCTGAGAGGCTAGCAATAGCAAGCTAGATTTGAAAGCATAACATCCCACCCTCTCTGCATAATCATTCTCCAAATCCACGCCTCATCCAAAACACATGAACACGCACAGACAGACCAGAGGCTAACCAGCAAGACTGAATGCAACGCTGTCAGATTACCTCATGTCTCATTCACCGGTGACAAAACATTACAGTACAAAGTGCATAACATTACACTAATGACGC